ATGGGTGACGAAGAATAATTTACTCCCAGTTCCATTTAGATAGCATAGTTACACTCAACAGTCATTACTCCGCGCGTTGAGCTCTGTTTGAAATTGAAATTTTGAGGCCCTAACCGAGATTTGTCTAACTAAAACTACTTCAAAAACTTATTTGGACTTTAAAACAATCATTTCATGTCGATTAATTACCTATCTATAATATGTTGTAATAAAAAAGTTTCTCGCATGCTATATTTTACAATTCCATTTATAGTCCAGGAAAATTGTCGATTTTCAAAAAAAAAATCCTACCCAAAAGAACTTTTCAGGGATGATAGGGGGAAGGTGGGTGATCATAAAACCGCAAATATCAAAGATTCACCCCTCTGGCGTTTTGCGCTATAGGGGTTGAAAGTGCGCCATTGGCGATTACTTGGTACCTATTGATTTTACAAAAAAATGTTTCAAATAAAAGATGTGCAACATTATTTGATCTACAATGTTTATTTTTTTTTTTTTTTTTTATTTAAGATTTTTTTGATTAAGGGCCATATTTGGTCATAAGGGCCGTTTGGAATTTTATAATGAAAATGAAAAATTTTAACCAACGTGAAAAAAATTTCTACAGCTCATACAACATTTTTGCTTTATGAAGTTTTTACTCACCCCTTGCCGTTTTTCAATAGGGGTAGTTTAAAGTTTTTTTATTTTTTTACAAAAACATTTTCGATAAAAGTTTTATGAGATGACATTTTCTACAATTTTTCCTAATCAACTTTTTTTGTAACTCACCCCCATTCAGCGGGGGGACACTTCCCTCGGGGAAATTTTAGTTTTTAGGGGTATATATTAATTTTTTTTTTCTTTTCTCGCCTTTAGTGCATATAAAAAGTTACAATTAACATTGTATTAAAAGGATTTTTTTTTCACCACCTTTTTGTTTTTAGGGGTAGTTCGCCTATTTTCAACTTTACAAAAAAAAATTATTAAGAAAATTTGTTCATTTTATTATTTTGAGCAACTTTTCTCTATAACTTTTTTTTGTAAAGTTGAAAATAGGCGAACTATCCCTAAAAACAAAAAGGTGGTGGAAAACAAATCCTTTCAATACAATGTTAATTGCACCTTCTTATATGCACTAAAGGCGAGAAAAGAAAAAAAAAAATAATATATACCCCTAAAAACTAAAATTTCCCTAAGGAAAGTGTCCCCCCGCTGAATGGGGGCGAGTTACAAAAAAAGTTGATTGGGAAAAATTGTAGGAAATGTAATCTTATAAAACTTTTATGAGGAAATTTTTTTTGTGAAAAAATAAATAAACTTTAAATTACCCCTATTGAAAAACGGCAGGGGGTGGTAAAAACTTCATGAAGCAAAAATGTTGTATGTGTTTTAGAAAAATTTTTCACGTTGGTTAAAATTTTTTATTTTCATTATAAAAGGACCCCGCACATTTCTTATGGAAAAGTGATCTATGTGGAATTTTGCTGAATTTTTGATATTGTGTATAGGGAGACTTCCTTAACAAAAGTGATCATTGCGCTAATGTTCAATACCCAACAGTTTTCAAGATATCAATTAAAAACTTTTTTAATTTGATACTCTTCAGTATGACGTCACCAGTATGCTCACATCACCGAAAATTAATACTATCCTTTTCACTTTTAACTTTGACTACCTTTTCTTATACTCTTCTCTTTTTAACATTTAGGAATTAAAAAAAAACAACAACAGGTACAAATGGAATCGCTATATGACAGACATCATGACATGAAGTTGACGATTGCGGCAGGAGCTAGAGGTGCTATTTGCATACCTACCTATTTGTCACTAATCGCTATCGTTATCTTTTTTTTTCTTAATGTTAAAAGGAGAAGAGTAAAGTCAAAGTCAAAAGTGGAAAGGATAGTAATAATTTTCGTTGCTGTGAGTGACGTCATACTGAAGAGTATTATTAAAAAAGTTTTTAATTGATATCTTGAAAACTATTGGGTATTGAACATTAGCGCAATGATCACTTTTGTTAAGGGCGACTCCCTATACACAATATCAAAAATTCAGCAAAATTCCACATAGATCACTTTTCCATAAGAAATGTGCGGGGTCCTTTCAAACGGCCCTTATGACCACAGGCGGCCCTTAATCAAAAAAGTCTTTAGATAAACATTGTAGATCAAATAATGTGGCACATCTTTTATTTGAAACATTTTTTTGTAAAATCAATAGGTACCAAGTAATCGCCAATGGCGCACTTTCAACTCCTATAGCGCAAAACGCCAGAAGGGTGAATGTTTGATATTTTCGGTTTTATGAGCATCCACCCGCCCCCTATCATCCCTGAAAAGTTCATTTGGGTAGGATTTTTTTTTTTCGACTATTTTCCTAGACTATTATAAGTTTCATACCATCTTGACGGATTTTTAATTTTTTTCCAAAAAATCAAAAAAAATAATAAAGGTTTGGTAAGTACCACGTACTGTAGCATTGTGTCAAGACTATTGGTACGAAATTTTATGACTATAGTCTAATTAACAACTGACTTATAGCAAAAAAAGTACGGAATTGATTAAATTTAACAATTCGCGCATTTTTAGCTAAAAGTATAAATTTCTGGCTTTCACAAAAAAAAATTTAAGGGAGAATTAGCGATTCCTGTGTAATATGATGTACTAAAGAAGAATATGTTCTTCATTTTTATATACCCTCCGACTGCTGACCACCCTTGTTAAAATGCGATTGACGCGGCCTTAGATCCCCAACTAATATACAATACAAATTTTTAAGACCAGATATTCTTTACAGAAAATTCTGAAAAAGTTTTTAAGATTCCCAATTAAGGCAATATTGGGAGGTAATTTGAAAGGTAGTTCACGTCCACACACTTGTAAAGAAACGAAATTGCAGCTTTTTTGGATTTTTTTTATTCACGTATTAATCAATTGCCAACGTTTCGACACGGATGCGTGTCATCCTCAGGGCTAAAATGTATAACAAACCAGTTAACATAACTACATTTGTAACAAAGATTATAAAATCGCTGCTCTAGATAGAAGAAATGAACTATTATTTTTATTTTTAATTTTTCGTGGGGAATATTGTTTCTATTTTAGGTGAAGTTAGTAATTATGCTATGATAAAACACACTTAGGTCGTTAGTGTCTCGGTTGAGATTCACATTAGGCTTGTTTTTGTGAATATAGGTCATTTCTAAGAAGAGTCAGTCTTTTTTTAAAATCTATGTCTCTATCTAAAATCTTAGTGCTATTAAAATCAAATATGTGGCCCTCTTCGAAATGGTGTTTAGCTCTAGGCCCGTCTTGGGATGGTCATAATTTGTGATATTGCAGTCACGTCGATGCTCGGCCAATCGGGATTTTAGGTATTGTTTTGTCTGCCCTATATATTTCGAATTACATGATCCACATGGTATCTGGTAAATAATATTACTATTTTCCATAGTCTGCGTTCTACTTTTTACTGAAGAAAATAGATTGCCAACCTTTTTGGTATTGTAAAATGCCATCTTGTTTGTGGTTTGTAATTTTTTGCTTAATGGTTCAGATAGGTTTTTTATGTAAAAATAAGATTAATGACACTCTTAACATGCTGAATAGTGTCAACCCCAACCTTGAATTCACAGTAGAGGTTGGAGAAAATAATAAACTGGCATTTTTGGATTTGCTGATATTTAACTCGCAGGGATCTTTGAAACTTGACCTCTACAAGAAACCAACGAGTTCTGGTCGCTTTCTCCATTTCTCGACCAATCATCCATTACACCAGAAGATCAACCTCATGACAGAGTCCAAAAACAAAATCTACAGGCTTTCTAATCCTAAGTTATGGGAAAAGAACTTACATAATTTACGACTTACTTTTCGGAATAATGGATATCCTACACATCTCATAAATCGCATCTTAAACCAGGTCCCTCCAACAACATTTCCACAGCCATCTAATGCCATTGAATCCAACAACAACAAAAAATATTTCAAAATTCCATACATAAAAAACCTATCTGAACCATTAAGCAAAAAATTTGTTACAAATGTAGTTATGTTAACTGGTTTGTTATACATTTTAGCCCTGAGGATGACACGCATCCGTGTCGAAACGTTGGCAATTGATTAATACAAGAATAAAAAAAGTCCAAAAAAGCTGCAATTTCGTTTCTTTAATATTGGGAGGGATCGCAAAATTCGAAAAGGTTGAGGAATATGATATTGAAAGAATATGAGTACAGTTTAAGCTAAATCGAAACAAAATGTTTAAGTTTCAAACATGGTGTTGAATAGCTTTTCAATTTATTGTTTATCAGAATTTTGAGCAACAATATCATTGTCCCGGTCCGGTCCCTTCGAACAAAGCCGTTGTCTGTATAAAGATTTCCCACTGATCTCAAAAATAAATGGATAAACAATCGTACGGCTTGATTGGCTAAACTTGTGAGAAAATTTGGGGCCAATATTCTACGAGCAGTTATGCAACAAAACAGTGGATAAACAATCGTACGGCTTGATTGGCTAAACTTGTGAGAAAATTTGGGGCCAATATTCTACGAGCAGTTGTGCAACAAAACAGTTTAACGCCTGCGCAGTGTCTTTTCTTTTGAACAACTGTTCTAAATTTTGAAATATCCTTCATTTTCATTGACAATATTTTGCGCACGCATAGTATCTACTGCGCACACTCACAGCTGTCCCAGTTGTTTACATTATGACCTCGTAAATTAGCAGCATTAGAAGCATTCTTTGCTTATCCATTTATTTTTGAGATCAGAAGGATATCCTCACATTTACAAGTTTAACTAGTAAATATCTAATGAATTATAGCCTTGATACTTTCTAAAATTGTTAGCATTCACAAGTAAAACCTAGCCTTTCCACTTTAACAGGAACATGGATAATGTACTAAGAGGAGTTCAAATACCCAAAACAGAGAACTTATGACTTTAAAAAATGTCCTATAAATTAATGAATATGCCAAACATTTATTGATAATAAAAAAACAATGATACTTACATTATTTTGTTGGCTCCCAACATTTTGATAGAAATACTTCCTTTGAGTAGTAGGGCTGGACTGTTGTGGCGTGTGTTTGCTGTTTTGCCTCGACTTGGGCGAGGGAATTTGTGGAGCTGTAATAAACAGACCTTTTACATTTAAACGTGAGGAACTGAAATTTCAACTACCGTGCAAATTTAGGAAACGTACCAGAGTTGAACACCGAGGACAACACTTCCTGGCTACTGGGGCTCTTCAGCTGTTGAGGCCTTTGACCCCCAGACGTTTGTTGGGACTGTTGATCCCCTGCAACGGGTAAAAATCTCAGACTTCATATCAAAAATTTTACATAAATTTTATTATAAGTTTTTTTAATGATTTACTCAATAGATGAAAGACAACTTCTTACACACTTTGCAATTTTTGTGCAATGTATTTGCTTCAAGGAGGTAAAATTTGAAGGTTTTTGGGCCTTCATTATTAGTTTAATTATTACACAGACCATGGATATAATTCACCCATGAATAAAACAATACATTCGCCAAAACTTTTTTTTGTTCCCTTTCAACCATCTCTATTCAAAATTTAGCCTTTTTGCTAATTAAATTACCTGAAATTGTTCCCCCTCCACCAACATTCTTCATGTAGGGATTCTGTAGGCTGGCAGCTGCCGACCTGAATTGCTGCTGTGCATTAAGAGCAGCGGCCATCTGCATAGAAGTCGACAGGAAAGGATACGATCCCTAAATAAAATCAAATCAAAATCAAAATTTAAAACTTATTTAAAAAATAATATTCTACCTGCAAACCAGTATTTGTATGCGACTGACTGTGCGTTCCAAAAACATTTCCCTGCAGCCCATATCCGGCTTGGTGCTGGGGCATCTGGGGCGCAGAAGGTAAACTAGAATTTCCTTGTTGGTAGTAACCAGTTTGACCGCCTGTAGAGCCAGAATAGTACGAAGACGATGGCTGCAGGCCTGGAACCACGCTATTTTGCACTGGAGGCCCGCCTGGACCTCTTTGCATTACACCTGCGCCAGGTAAATAGTTTGCAGCTTGCAGAGCCGGCTCGTAAGTCATGTAGACCTGTTGGCCTTGTTGGGATTGCTGTTGATAGGCTTGACCTACACCACCAGCTTTGGTCCCAATAGCACTGATAGGCTGGCTGCTAGGTTTAACACTAGCCGACATCAGACTGTTGCTGGTGGAACTAATGAGCATTGTTGTAGGGTTGTTTAATGGTTGATTCTGGCCAAAAGGATTGGCCGCGGACAGTCTAAAACTATTCATTGAGGGATACAATTCTGGTGGTGCTTGGGCTGTGGGTGGCGGATGAGGAGGTGTTGGCAAATAAACCTAGAAATAATATAAAATTTAAATTTAGTTCATTTCCCTGTCAAAAATAATTGTTAGTGTAGTTTTATCCAAAAGATAATACGGGAAAATTAATGCCATTTTGTCTAGAACATGTTTACAGTGCAACTGTTAGCATGGACACGAACATTTATCACTACCCCTGTTGCAAAGCTATTGTAGAAACAATAGCATTAATTCCCCTATGTCCCTTTGGCACTGAAGTAGGCAGTGATTCCTAATAATTCTTACCGATTGAGTATTATAAGGTGAATTAGTTGGTTGTCCCAAACTATGATAAGCTCCTGCAGCAGGGTACTGTCCAAATCCGCCAGCTCGGGCGTGTCCTTGTCCTCCCAACACACCTTGATCAGCAGTAGGTAAAAAGGCACCATATAGCCCTGACTGCAACTGTTGGGTAGAATTATACAAAACAGTGGGAGGCGAGGGAATGGCCGAAATACCATACTGAGCTGAACCAGCAGCTGCAACCCCCTGTGCAGATGCCGCTGATGGGAAACCCGTCAGATGCTGATTCGTAGCGAATGCTTGCGGTCCTAAAGAAACGCCTACAGCTGTCGCTGCCATCGGCGGTGGCGACAGTTGTGTGCCCAGCAACATGGGGTGACCCACAATCGCTGAATGAGGCTGTTGAGATGTAGAGGATACTGTTTGACCAGCAGCGCTCGATACTTGCTGAGTAGGTTTGACCTGGAATTGTTGTAGAGGAATTTTTACAAGAAAATGGAGGTAAATATGACAATATTTTTAAAAATAAAAACTAGATGTTCTTCATCATAATCCCAATCCTTTAAGTATATATAATGAATTTTACACAAGGACAAAAAATTAAGAATAATTATTGAGAATCAATATTCTGTCAACTTGGCAATCCCTCAAAATTCCCTAACTAAATTACTTCTAAAAATTCAAACCAAAACACTACTAAATATGTAATTACCTTGCATACATTTGTACTAGAAGCGGCCTGATTGCTGCCAGGACTGAAACCTTCGTGGTGGGCCTCATCTTGAGGGTCGCTACCTTTAAAAGCCGTGTCCAACGGTGCACCGAAACTAAGGCCGCTTGTATCTTCGTTTTCTTGCTCTGACGTTTCCCAAACTTTCTTCACAGAAGCAATTTTCATGTTAAGCGAATCAGCGTTACAGATTGTACTAAAAACAACATTTTCACTTAATTTTCCAGCAAAAGATCTTTGTTGAATCATTACCTGTTAACCGACGTGATACTTTTTGACATACACAAATTCTGAGATGATTTGTCCTCAGTTAGATGCGTTAAGTCAGCACCGAAAAAGTCTAATTTAATGTCGCTTTCCTCCTTGAACACCATCTGTATAGGATTATCCTTGCCATCACACTTCTGTAGCAAATCATTAATAGGTTTCGTGAACATGCTATTGTCCAAATTCTCATCCAATTTGGAACGAGGTTTGTCAGTTGGACCTCCAGGAATCGAATTCCTTGACGCAGTCCGAACTCCTGGTGCAGACTTAAAGTTGGTATTTTCAAAGATAATTGTATTCACTGGTGGAGTAGTGCCATCAAGAAGATTCTTATCAGGAATCTGGGATGGTATTCCTAACGCCTTGTCACCACCAGGGCTAGCCCCATGTCCAGAAGTGGGTGTGGCAGGGTCCAAATTGACTCCGTCCAAAGAAACTCCCAACATTACGCTGGCGTCGTGTTCAGAGGGACGTAATTGAGGCCCTAAAGGCTTGTCCCATGCTGAACCTGCAGCAGGCAGAACAGTTTGTACATTATCCCTCATTCCATAAGCATGTCCTTGTGGTTGCACCTTATTTAGATCTCCAGAAATATCGTTCATCATTTGTTGTTGCATTTGCTTTTGCATTTTTTGCTTAGCAAATCGTGGAGGTAATTTGTGTTGTCTATTGTTAGATCTCTGATCCCTAGAGTCGTATTGATTTTTGTTGGGCAACATTTGGGGTGGATTTACAGGGGTCGACATCAACGGGGGAATGTTTTGAATTTGTTGCTGTGTCATTTGAGTGCTACTAGGTTTTCCTAGAGGCTTTTTCTCTAATTTTGCATCCTTAATGGTGTCATTCCTTGCTAGTGGAGGTCCCTTTTTCTCTTCCTTGGGTCGCTCTTTTGTAGTTTTCTTGCTCTTTACTTCTTGAAAACCTTCCGAATCACCATTTAAATCACTACTGCTTCCTTTTTGTTCTTTTACTTCATCATCACGATTTTTCAAGGTTATATCTGCAATGGCACTTGCCAGAAGATTTTGGGGATCAGGTTTCATATCAGCTTTCTTAGCCTCAAAACCTCTTTTTTCTCCTCCTGTTCTTGGGGGTGGAGGATTATTTCTTCTATCATTTCCCACTCTGCGTTCATTATTTGGAATACCTCTTTGTGAAGATGACCTGCTGATAGGCTGTCTTTTGCTGCTATCTGACAGGTCTGAAGTATTATCCTTTTCTTCGTCTTTTTTGTTTCTCCTATTATCAGGCTTCAATTTAGCTTTATTTTTATCTTCTGAAGATTCTTGTCTGGATCTACCTATAATTCCAGCTGAGAGAGCTTCTTGGTTTTGTTTTATTTTGTCAGTAGCTGCAAAAGAAGATTTTGAAGTTTCCACGGAAGTTTCTTCTGTAGTGGTTTTCTTGTCTTCGTGATGTCCAAATGGACTCTTGGAAGGTGGTGGGCCATATCCATCAATTCTTTTACCCATACCACCCATTCTACTTCCTCTGAAATTGTTTGCGCCACCACGACCATGTCTTGATGGTTCTCCTCTAGGCACATAGCCGCTGCCATCTTTTTTGTCAACTTTTTCAGCTTGTTGACTTTGTGGGTGAGGCTTCTTTTGCTCAGCAGTTTTCTCTTGTCTATTGTCTCGATTCTTTTCCTCTTTATCAAATGGTTTTTTCGGGATAATTTTGGAGTCTTTAGAATCAACAGGATAAGTATCTGTCGAACCATCACTATCAGTTCCATGACTATAAAAGTCTCTACCTCCAAGTTTGTGGCCTCTAGATGGGGGACGTTGCTTGTTACCCCAAGAGGGACCTCTTGAATGAAAATCTGATGAAGAACCACTGCTTCCCCAGCTTTTACTTTGCGAGTAGCTCCTATTGGTCCTGTTTTGTCTATCTTTGTAGTCATCATGTTGCTGCTGGGGTTTTTTGGATTCGACTGGTTTGGCTTCTGGTTCTTTCTTATGTTCAACTTCTTCAGCTGGAGTCACACTTTCGGCCCAAGCAAGTTTTTCATTAGAACGTGCTTTATCGTCTTTCTTAGGCACTTCAACTTTTTTCGGCGGTGGCATTTCACCTTTCTTCAATTGAGTCAAATTTCTTTTTTCATTAAAATCATCAGCTTCAATTCGGTCCCTGGTAATTGGTCCAGGTACTAATAATGCTGGTGCAGTTCTCTTTTCATCTTTCAATCTTTCTTTTTCCTTTTTCTCCTCGTATGCAGCTTCTACATCTTCGTTCCATGAGCCCATAGATTCTTTGAGGTCAATATCTCTAGAACGTCTGTTTGAAATGCTACTTTGAGACCCATGCGATGTGTGCGAGGTATGAGAAGTGTGGGAATCACGACTATCTGGACGTTGAGGCCTTTCAAAACTTTTTTCCTGCGATCTTCTATCCTCATAATGTCTGTCGTGGACTTCTGGTTTATTATACCGTGGTTCTTTTTGCCATTTATCTTCATCTCTTTTATTGGAAGAATATGATTCTTCACTGTAACGATTATCAGATGGTTTTTGGGTGCTTTCTGACTGAGAATGATGGGAGCTGCGATAACTATCATCTGAACTTTGCCTCCTATATTCTCTATGATCTTCATTGTGTCTTTCAGGACTATCTGGTCTAGCACCTCGACTGGGAGCACGTTGTGCGTTGGAGGACCATCTATTATTGGGTTCATAATGGGAATAGTTAGATTGGGAAGGATTTTGAGTGCTTCCAGTGTTCCTTTGTTGATTTTTCAAGAACCTAGGAGGCAAATCATTTTGGAAATGTTTGGAGAAATTGGGACCATTCTGTTCACGATGGTCCCTTTCAAATTTCTGTTGGGGTTTCCTAGAAAAGCTTTTTCCTTCAATTTGTGTCATTTGTCTGAATCCTGAAGTATTATTATCTTCTTTAGGGGGAGTAACTTCGTGTTGTGATCCACGGGGTCTCTGTTCCTTTTCCTTGTCCTTTTGGAATTCAGGCAAAGGAATTTCAACGTGATTTATAGGTTTTGGAGGTACTGCCGAAGGACTAATAGTACCGATTTCAGTCTCTCGGTCACGATCGCGCTTTTCACGTACTTTTTCGTTCAATTCCTGCAGTTTCTTCTGAGCTCTTTGCCTACTTTCTTCACTGAAACGTTTCTCTTCTTCTTCCTTGCGCTGCTTTGCACGTTGTATCGCCAAATCCACTTCTTTTTGATGCTGCCTGTGTTTCTGACTCATAGCCTCATCCTCCTCGGATTGACGGCCTCTGTAATTTTCTGAACGACCACTATTCCAATGTTTAGGCGGAGTTTGTCTCTCAGATCGAACATCTTGAGATTTAGGTTGTTGTTGTGCTTGTGATTGGGGAGCTTGTTGCTTGTGTTGGGAGGGTTGCCTATTATAATCTTTTCTGCCCGATGGACGATCCTCGTCGTCACTAAAGGCCAATTTCTGATTATAATCAACATCATCTGACCCTGCCCAACCCATGTCGTGTCCAATTTCGTCAAGTTTACTTAATTCTTCTTCTTTAATAATCGGCCTGGGAGCGAGTTCATCAGAAGTAGGAACATCGCGATCCTGGAGACGCGGCGGCCTATTGTCCACAGCCCTGCTACGTCCGTTATAGGGTGTAGAATGAGGATGATTAACCTGCCCTGTCTGGGGTCCGTTCTGGGGAAAGCTACCTTTGTACATAAAGGGCGGCAATACCCCGCGCATTTGTGGTGGCATTATTTCTGGTTGACGGCCGGCCTGGCCCGGAAGCTGCGGTGGCGCACCCTGGGGTACCGAGCCACTTCTCACCGAACCGTCTTGGGCGGGCCTTTGACCACCTTGTGTCCATGAACCTTCTGTTTGTGGGCGGAGGCTAAACAAATGAAAAAATACATTATCATATCTATGTGTTCATTTGCCAAGTGAACTGTAAATTTCAGCATCATAAATTTGAAGTCACATACCGTAAGGTAACAATCACATGGATAAATTATTAGCATTTTGTATTATTCTGTATTTGTATTAGGTACTCTAGCCGGTTCTTCATTGAGCAATTGAATTAATTGTATTTGGATTTTTTATATTTTTTAATGACAAACTTATATTACCATGTTATCAAAAGAGGAATAAATAAATTGAAATTGAGTCTGCTAAAAAACTGAGAACATTTGTTTTCATGATTATTATTGTAATTTTATCGGGTAAAGGCCTGTTGATGAATAATTGAATAAATAACAAATACGTTTGTTCGAAAGTGATAGGCAATGTTTCCCTTTCTCATGATTCTTACCTTAAGCCTGATTGATTTGCGCCACCTGAGCCTGCGTATTCCCCGGACTGGCGGTTCCCTGTGGCACCACCAGCGCCATCGCCAGCGGACAGGCTGGGAAACTCGTGTTGAAACTGGGGACTCTGGTAAACTGGTGGGTGGCCATTGTCCGGCTGACCGCCCGCCATCACCGCGCTCCACAATTTGTCGCCGCCTGATGTACTTGCAGCTGGAGCAGGATGTGGTGTCTGAAGTACAAGAATAAAAACATTCACACACTCAAGAAATCCCAGAGCGACTTTTGATCATGAAATAAAATGTTGATCAGCGTGTTTTGAATTTGTATCTGTATAAATATTCACTCTTGTGGACAAGTTCTTATTTTTCCAAAGTTTAATATTTCCCTCAAGTAAGAAAAATAAATTTGTTGAAAATTCTTGCTTAGCAAAATATGTTAATTATTCACTCTTTTACACAATTTGCATTATTTTTCATTCCAGTAAGTACTTAAACTTCTTGCCTTTTTCTCACTTGAGATAGATACTATTCTTAGAAAACGGATTATATATTTTCAAATAGTTCTGTTTCACAATAGAAATCTATGAAATTGGTTAATTCTCTTTGAATCTACACCAAATTCTGATGCGATAAGATAAGGGAAAAATAAACAAATATAAAAGATACTGAATGACACACACCTGTTTGTTGTGTGGTGGAATGACATTGGTCGAAGGTATAGCTATTGCCTGTTGATGGGATGTCAATTGGGGTGGACTTTGAACAGTTTGCTGCTGAACACCTTGTGGCGATGGAGATGTCCCATTCTGCTGTGCAACTGGAGCTGGTGTACCTCCTTGTTCTGTAAAAGTATATGGAATATAACTTATGTCTTCAAAAATGTCTTTATTGTAACATTCAGACCTAAATACAGACATACTTAGGACTGGTTTATCGATGGACGGTTAAGTATCTAGTTTAGCTGTCAGTTAAACAATGATAATTATAGATTATAGTTAACCAACAGCTAAACTGGATAACCGTCCACTAATAAACCGGACCTTAATCAGTTAAACTCGATTTTTTGATATAGTTGTCAGAAACTTCATTCCATCAATTCATTAAACGCAACAAACAAAAAACAGTAGAGCTTCAGATGATTTTGTCTTTATAACTTGAAAACTACATACATGCCAAGTATTGTTAGTTTATATCTACTTATTCAGTAGATACAATATGATTATCAACATGTACTTTATAAGTATAGAAATTATCATGTACAAACCTTGTTGTTTGCCCCATCCTGTAGATCCTGGTGGTACTAAGGGGACAGCTGCGCCCGAATCAATGTGTTCCGATTTTAGAGAGGGTAGATTGGCCGGTGCTCTGCGAGCGTTAGGTACCTTTCCCAAACTTTGCATGCCATGTTTAATGTAATTTGATGAACTTTTCTGTGCCGGTTTTTCAGTATTTTCGCCCTAAAATAAATTACAGGTTTTAAGCAACAAGTTCAATGACAACCATATTCTTAAAGCTTTGAGCCCTATTGAGACAACTGTTTTGGACCCAAAGTAACAGGAAACTTTTGTAAATTATAAAATATAAAGTCTAGGATTATATTAATATTATCAATATTTTTATCATCTTCATCAGTATGTTTTGTTTAGCCCAGCTAGATAATCGAGCTTTATAGGTATAAACTAAGTTGATTCTAAATATTTAAAACTACATATACAATTAGATTTCAAGTGAAAATGTCTGTACCACTTGCTTTCACAGATTAGAAATAACATGCCTGAAAGTGAAGGTCATTGTCAAAAGCAAAACTATTTTTAAACAACAAAAAAAAAATGCAAAATGTTCAAGTGGCTTGGCTTGAAAAGTAGGTACTTGAACTTGACAAGATGAAATTAAAGTATATGAAAAAATAATCCTAGAATTCTAGAAAAGAACATTGAATTGGTATCAAAGAAATGAGGGATGGGCAAACATTACCAATTGAAGATTATCATATTTTACAGAAAAATCTTCTAGAATGAGGTGGTGATATAAAATCATTTTTGTACCGTTTCTAAACCAAAAGTGGGTGAAAAACTTGTTGATGAGAAAACGCAAAATCGACAACAATAAGAATAGAATAGAAGATAATCATATTCGGTATCGAGTGTTCGCCAGATCGCCTATGATGATGAAATGCACTTCAACGCATACAAAACTCTTGAGGGCTGTAAAATTACTTATCAACTGGGTGAAATACAAAATTGTAACTGATTCACCATGCAAACTAAATTTAGTGTTATCTCCAATATCTCCAGGATAAGTTTACAACAACGTTATCATTACATTTTTGTGATAAAAAAGTTGTAGATACTATTTTGTACATTACTCAAGTTGATAGGTAAAATATATTTTTTACCAGGACCTCAGGAAAAGTTGTGGATGTTTGAGAGTTGGGAATGGAAATACCGAGGGGTCAACGACTATGCTATTCACATTGATTTCCATATTTGGCAACCACTGATCTATTCAATGAATCTCACGTATTCCCGTCCCAAAAATTGTGACTGATCGCCAATGATTTTCAAATATTCTTGCATGATTATCGGGTGATTTTGATTTTTTATGAGGATTCCTATATCATTCCCAATTGATTACCTGATTTCCTGGATGATTTCCTACAACATCCGATTTCCAGCAGATTTTATTAGGAAAATCATGTCTAATTTTAATTAAGTTTTGCATTTGATATAATCAAAAAAATCGAGCCATACCTTTTCTCCTATAAAAACATGTTTCCACTGAAAAATTGGCAACTTCTATATCTACAACTCTTCCAAAAGTTAGCATTTTCATAGTTGTCCACACACACACCGATTTTGTTGTAGGTATAAATAGCTGTTGAGCCCTAGATACCATTGTGTGCCTACACTGCATAATATGGATCTAAAATAATGGATATTTCTTTGATTTCACTGGGATGTTCATCTAAATCAGAGACATCTTGAGTTAGGGTTTCACTCTACAAACTTATTTCTGATTCTGATGTGCTATCATCTCTGCTTCTTGCGCTGCCTAGTATTTATTCTACTTTTTTTTTTCAAGTTTCTATTGCTTTAAATTCCCAACCTTTTTTTTTGTGTCTTTCTCAGGGACATTTCCACAGCTCCTAATACTGGATCAATAAACGTCCCTGCTTCTCCAAAAAGAACCAAATTAAAGTTGAGCCCTGAATAATCTCTTAATTGTAGCGAATCGCAATTCCTAAACCGTGATGTGTGAACAAATTCAATCTTCTCTTGGCAAGTCGGATTCGAGAGAGGTTTCAAGATTCATGTTTTCATTTTCATGATCTAAATTGTCATACTTCAGGTATGTTCTCACAGAAATAACAAACCAGCCAAAGCGAATTCCATTGGTTGAAAATAGTCAGAAAACTGGTTTGCGCCAATCGAATACGCTTTGAATGGTTTGTTTTGTGATTTCTGTGAGAACAGACCTAATCTTCATCTCATTCTTCTTCTTCTTCAAGTTCTTAACTCTTGAGTCTCGGGTTCAGTTATTATTGGCTCAGTATTATTGGGAAACCCGTTGGGATATAAAATTTATGTCAAATTGTCTAGCACTCAATGGGTACATTCAGGCGGTCCCAGCGGCTAAGCTCAGCCAGTCAGCAGGAACTTTATTCTCGAAACAGGGGAGCAGCGTTATCATTAGAATTAAGGGTCTGTCTTTGTCGTCCGGCATAACACTGACAATGACAGAGCAATCGTTCTTATGAGAACGCTGTTCCTTGGTTTCGAGAATAAAGTCCCTGCTGAGTGGCTGAGTTTAGCCGCTGGGACCGCCTGAATGTACCCAATGTTGCCTAAAACTTAGTCTTAAAGGTAAATACACCTCTGACCGGTACCTATGCTGGATCGTTTAAGAGGTATGATATGCGATTTCTGGGTTAGAATGAGATGAGATTCCCAGCGATTACCACATGATTCTCAGCGATTACCAATGGATTCCTTTGTGATTACCATGTAGTCTTAAGGAATTCCTAGGTTATTCCCAAGTGATTTCCATATTATCCTGATTGATTAGGTCCTATGTGATTCTCAAAAAAAAAATCCGGAAATACTAATTTTTCCAAGAATTTTTCCCTAATTTCCTTCTTTTTGTTTTTAAGAAATATGCAATAAAAAAAAATCATTGACATCGAATGTATTGTGGTCCCTAGCACATGTGTAACGTACAATATCTTATTCAAAAGGAAATAAAAGTCTAAACTTTTTAACATTTTATTTGTTTTGTTAAAAAAAGGTTTGAGTTTGAAGCGTTACAGCTGCGGAATTATTGTTGCTGCATTGAAACTTGTAATTTTCTTAATTTTTTCTATTCCAAGCTCTTGAATTTTTTTTTTTTATTTTTATAGAAAACAGCCAAACAAAAATTAAGAACTGGTTTTAGCTAACAAACTCAGTCTCAACAATAGCAAATCTCAAAATCCTAATTTTAAATTAAGATCCATTGAATGTGAGCTACCTAGTGACGAGTCAGTGAAAGTTCTTGGTGTGTATCTTGACAACTCCGGACTCACTTCGGAAACTCATGTTGATAACCTTAGCGCCAAGCTTTCTAAAATTAAATTTCTGACAGAAACCTTTTAAAGGATGTTTCTACTTCCACTGTACTTACAGCTTACCATGGCTGCTTCTGCTCGAATTATGTCATAAGCTAAACTGGGGTCATGCCCCAAAAGCCAAGCAAATTTTTAAGCACCAACGTCAGTGCATAAGAGTAATAGCAGGGGTAGTATTTTCGAATTCATTCGAGTTCATTTCGTACACGAAATTTGATTGACAACAATGTAAATTAAATGGGGAGCATTCGAAATCCTATCAGATTTCGTATGCGAGAATATTCGAAAATACAACCCCTGGTTCAAAGTACCAAGACTGCTGTAAGAATAGCTCTAGGAGCTTACAATGATTAGGCGGAAGTTTTTCATCCAAAAATAGTAATGGAAAGAACACCTCTGAAAAATACCAATACTGATGACTTCAGTGGATTAAAAAGACAAAGATCCGAAACAAGTCCATCCGCATTTCAAGATCGCAAAAAAATACCTAAACATAGAGACAACTTTCAAAATGAAACCCAGTCAAAAGACAACGAAAATCCCAAAGACATTCAACAAGTAAATTCACCTGAAAATAGTACAAATGATATGATTGAAACTATTTTAAAGGCTCCTGGAACTATAAACAATTTTTCAGAAAAAAATTTTGAAAATAAAAATCTGGTGGAAATGAGAAAAGCTAGTTTTAAACTACATGGGGCTGACCAAACTTATCTACACACTAGAAATAAAGGAATCTATCCTCTCCGAGACAAATTATCATGGTAAAGAGGAAAGTCCAAAACAAAATAGGTACCACAAATAGAACTAATTTGCCAGAAAATGATACAGAAAAAACGGAAAAAGAACTTCCAAAAACGTACAGCACCATTGCAAAAATAATAAATAGAGAACGAGAGGGAATCCCAAAGGAGGGTTGGAAAACACCAGAAAAATCTAGAAAACATGAAATATTGATAAAATCGAAGGATCCAGCTGAAGTTGTAAACATTGTGAAATAAGTGAAAAAGGAAATAAATGAAATGGGTCTAAACGAAACTTTCAAAAATGTTCGGCATTTACAGAGTGGCGCAGTTATATTGGAATGTCACAATGAAGATCAGCAAAAAAGACTTCAAGAAATCATTAAAAAGCAGGAAAATTTACAAACAAAAGACCTTCAGAATACAGATCCAGATCCAATGATTATGATAATGGGAATAGAAAAAGGCTACGAAACAGAAATCTTTATCCGGGAGTTTATAAATGATAACTCTCAAATAACAGCTATATTGGGAGAAAATGTCGAGAAACATATTAAATTTATCACAAAAAAAAACATGCGGAAACGAAAGAAAAGAAAATTGGATATTGCAAATCCCACCAAGACTCTTTAAATGGTTAATCAGAAACAATTCTCTTTGTTTTGATCTTACTAAAGCCTACATTCAAGAATATGTAAATTTGGCAATATGTTTTAAATGCTGGAATTTTGGACATGTGGCAAAGTATTCCAAAGGTAACCCATGTTGCCACAAATGTGGGGATAAGTATGAGTCAAATAATTTTTCAAACAACCTTTTGGACTGTCCAAATTGTAAGCGCCTAAATTTGCAAGATAGAAGACACTCAGCTCGAGACCAAAAATGCCCAGCTTTTCTACAAAAAAAACAAAACAAAATCAGTCATATGAATAAAGTGTAGCAAATGCTTCAACTCTATTTCCATCCCTCCTTGCTGCATTAAAGCTGAATATGTTTATCTCAAAAAACTTAAGTAAAAGCATTTGCTTCTGTTTTATTCATATGAGCCAATAAGCAACAGTCTAGACTCAATTAATATCCTACTCGAAGAAAATACATGCTGTAAATGTAT